AAATTTACAAGCAAAAACTAATGAAATGTTAGAAGCTACACAAAAAATGTCTTCATCATTAGGAAAAGGAAACTCTATTAAAGAAGATGCTCTTATAACTCCTGCACCTGTTTATAAACAGTTAACCATTTTTATTTTCTTATTTTATTTATTTGTTCTTTTCTTTTTTAAAAGACTTTTACAAGGTTATGCTGAAGAACATGCTATTCGAGATTTATTATATTATCTTGCTGATGGACTTCGAAGAAAATCTATTGGATTAGATACTTATTTAAAAGTTTGTTTTCTTTTTTTGTTCTTTAACTAGATTTTTATTAGTTTTTTTTTTTAGCATGTTAGAGAACTTTCTCGAAAACAATTTACTTTACGAGCTACAATCCATAAATGCCCACAAATTGCTGACTAACCTTTAAAATAAATGTGTTTTTTTGTGTTAAACAAAAAATTGATTTTATGTTTTATTATATATGTTAGTATTGAGAGAAAATGGATTGAACATTACAAAAAATAATTAGCATATATGCTCGGATGTAAAGAAACGATAAAAATATTCTTTGATATTGATTCAGTAATATGAGAAAAAGTAAATAAATATTTATGTCTCTAATGCAACGCAAGCAGAACGAAAAAAAAATGATTTTAATTTTCAAAGGCTAAGTGTGTGTGAAGTGGCGCGTGCAAAATATATATACTAACTGATTTCTATCGACACCAGCGTAAATAATGACAGTCACCAATAGAAATATGCAAATTGAAACCTTGGCTTGGATAACTGATGATGAAGCTGAATTTTGGACGGTGAATATTGAATAAAACATTTCTTTTTTTTCATTGATTGATTATCTCATTTAGAGTACATCACCTATAGAAAAAAATGATGTGTCTCATCATTTGTCGACATCAAAAGATTTGTCTTCAAATATAATTTCATCTGATGATCTTTACTTTAAAACAAATAATCAGTTAGATACAGAAATAGAAAATCAAGTGTCATTATTATCTAACCAAGTTATTCAAAAACAAGAGCAAAAAAAGAAAGACACAGTCGAAAAAAAACAAATATTTGACATATTTCAACTAAATGAAAATGTTCATCTCAATAAAAAAAATCCTGAAAAAACAATGGGTTTTCTTAGTCGACTATTTCATCAATTAACAAGATCATCATCTTCAGAATTCGATTATTTAGATGATGACGTCTTTATCGATATCGATGAAACTGAAATAGCAGCTGTGGTCAATAATAATGCAGATATTGATGTATCATCCAATGTTGAAAATAAAACTACCGATACTATTCCATTTATGAATACTATTCGATCATTTATTGATGAATTAAATGAAGAAAAAGATGTTATTACAGGAACCATTGATGAAGAAACATTAGCTAATCGA